CAAAGTGGTTGTAGTTAAAGTGAATATGCCATGCTTGTGTATGTTTTTAAGTTTGAGGCATCCCTTTCACTGCAGACGGTCCGCGCGGTACAAATATTGATCTATATTGATATATATATTGTGTCCTCAAGCTTTCATCTCCGTCCTGCGTCCTATTAGTCGTAAGTCGTGGCCATACGTACAATAGATGCGCCGGTAGAAACTTGTCATATTTCTGATCCGACCAAAGTCGCTTTAACGTGCTTCGTTTGGAAGGGGTTGAATCCTGATGCTCTGCGGACTATTTTCCAAAAGTTACGCGCACTTTTGTGGTCATCATGTGTGATGCTCGCGATAGTCGGGCGTTGCGATCATGAGGCATATTCTTGTAAGCTGATGTTTAGGTGGTCTAGTGTCTAAGGTGCAGCGAAGTTCGATTTTCACTGTCACGCAAGGGTAAACAGCATAACCGGAATACACCCAAGGGCCCATCTTTGCCGCTTTGGCTTATGGACATCTTGGCGCCTTGCATACGGGCCAAGGCCATTCTTCACCTTCCAAATTGCTGCGTCATCAGGTGGACGGTGCTTGGTGTTCTCATCAGCAGTGCCTGCGCTCGCCACACGGGACACGCTTGCAGCTGCAGACCGACCTCACTCACTTCCCGTCCTGTTTGCCATTCTCCTCCCCGCCGTCCTGTTTGCCATTCTCTTCCCCGCTGTCCTGTTTGCCGTTGCTCACGGCGGGGGTTAGATGTCGGCTGTAGTGGAGGCGACGACCAGTGGCGGTGGCCGTTTGATAAGTGGATGGTGTGACAGCGGTGGTCCGCGCGCGTGGCGGAGTGTCTGCCGAGACCCCGTGCGGGAGCCATGAAGGAGGCCGTGGGGCGGGGGCGGGGAGGGGAGGGGCTGAGTGAACATGCCGGCTCGAAGCCTGCGAACGTACCATCCGCAGTCCGCACGGCACCGCTCGCCGCTGATGTAACCGCCTCGTGCGGGATCGAGGGCAGTTTGCACGCGGCCGCTACATGCGGTGGAACGCCGTGTCGTAACGCAACAGCCAGACGGGGAAGTCGCTGGCAGCAAAAGCGAATGTGATCACTTAACTGGGAAGGTCTGCCAGCCGCGTGCCGCGAAGCACATCGGTCAAGGGTAAACCCGCTGGTGCGGATCGAATTCCCAGCGTAACTGAATGAAGCCAATTATCACGTGCCGGGTGATGGACACCGGCGTCCCGCGATCTGCCGGGAGCCGCGGGAGTCCGTCACTCCAGTACCGAACAGGAGCGGCGTGGCCGCGCGGCGCCGACCGCCAGGCGCGCTCGCGCCGGCGCGTGATCGTATGCACGGCGATCCTCATCTCCGGTCACGCGTCGGCCGGGTCCACGCCGCGTCCTTTGGGATCAAGGCCGTGCCGCTAAATGGCCGGGCGTGATGGCAGTCGTGTCGGCCAGCGCACGGATCTGTCTGTGGCCGGACGGCGCGGGCGAGCGGCGGCCCAGCGCGCCGCCCCGGCCCCGGTGCCGGGGGAGCCCCGGCCTCATGTGCCGCCTCTTGCCCGCTGATCAGACAGTGGTCGAGCGCGCGACACTCGACGAGGTGCCACACTTTTCACCTTCAGCGCGTCATGGCTTGGTCTTTCCGTGGGTGGTGGGTGACGTAACAGTGGGCGCGCGCGAGCGCATCTTCTGCTGACTTGCGGTCCGGCGGTAGGCTCAGATGACCTCCGGGTCGCGGAAGAGATGGTCCATTTTGGCGCCGTACTTGACAGGATTCGCACAAATCAACTACCATTAGATGGTGTGGAGGGCCCTTCACGTCGGGCGCCGTGCGCGCGGCTCAATCCAAGACCCTGACGTGAAAAGTGATACGCTTTTAGGACTTAGTTCGTGCAGTGCAGTATGGAACATTAAGGCTCCATGAACGACGGCTTGGACTAGCTGAAGCGACGTAGCGCGCTTGCGTACTAAAGGCTCAACTGAAGACTTACAGCCGTTAGGTGTGAGCTTGAGGTTTCCTAATCTTCAGTTTCGGTTTCGCCGCATGCACTTGGCGTGACTGCTAGCGATCTCAGAGACCACAGCAGCCACGTGGTGGAGCGACTCTAATGACCACAGCAGCCACGTGGTGGAGCGACTCTAATGACCACAGCAGCCACGTGGTGGAGCGACTCTAATGACCACAGCAGCCACGTGGTGGAGCGACTCTAATGACCGCAGCAGCCACGTGGTGGAGCGACCCTAATGACCACAGCAGCCACGTGGTGGAGCGACTCTAATGACCGCAGCAGCCACGTGGTGGAGCGACTCTAATGGCCACAGCAGCCACGTGGTGGAGCGACTCTAATGGCCACAGCAGCCACGTGGTGGAGCGACTCTAATGACCACAGCAGCCACGTGGTGGAGCGACTCTAATGGCCACAGCAGCCACGTGGTGGAGCGACTCTAATGACCACAGCAGCCACGTGGTGGAGCGACTCTAATGGCCACAGCAGCCACGTGGTGGAGCGACTCTAATGACCACAGCAGCCACGTGGTGGAGCGACTCTAATGACCACAGCAGCCACGTGGTGGAGCGACTCTAATGGCCACAGCAGCCACGTGGTGGAGCGACTCTAATGACCACAGCAGCCACGTGGTGGAGCGACTCTAATGGCCACAGCAGCCACGTGGTGGAGCGACTCTAATGGCCACAGCAGCCACGTGGTGGAGCGACTCTAATGACCACAGCAGCCACGTGGTGGAGCGACTCTAATGGCCACAGCAGCCACGTGGTGGAGCGACTCTAATGACCACAGCAGCCACGTGGTGGAGCGACTCTAATGACCACAGCAGCCACGTGGTGGAGCGACTCTAATGACCACAGCAGCCACGTGGTGGAGCGACTCTAATGACCACAGCAGCCACGTGGTGGAGCGACTCTAATGACCACAGCAGCCACGTGGTGGAGCGTAATGGGCAGCACGTGGTGGAGGCGACTCTAATGACCACAGCAGCCACGTGTGGAGGACTCTAATGGCCACAGCAGCCACGTGGTGGAGCGACTCTAATGACCACAGCAGCCACGTGGTGGAGCGACTCTAATGGCCACAGCAGCCACGTGGTGGAGCGACTCTAATGGCCACAGCAGCCACATGTGTGACGACCCTAATGACCACAGCAGCCACGTGGTGGAGCGACTCTAATGGCCACAGCAGCCACATGTGTGACGACCCTAATGACCACGGCAGCCACATGGTGTGGCAACCCTAGTGACCACAGCAGCCACATGGTGTGGCAACCCTAGTGACCATAGCAGCCACATGGTGGGACGACGCTGATGACCACAGCAGCCACATGGTGTGGCGACCTTAATCACCATAGCGGTCACATGGTGTGGCAAGACAGAAAACCACATGAATATGGCTAAATTCCAAGCATTACTGCATGCCACTAGAGGAGCTAATGTCAGGTTGTGCTAAGTTGACAGGTCGCTGGACCCCCGCCTGCTGTGAAGCTCCTGCACCTGTGATTGGTAGCAGCGATGTCTTCAAAGCGCAGCTCAGGCCGCGAGATCAGGTCATACAGAATTATTTGTCTATCAATAACTGAATGGTCTGTGGCGACAGGCAAGGACGGTAGTTCACTTTTTACAAAACTTTTTGTGGCCTCCACAAAACGGCTTCTCCAGTCGTCGTTAGAAAAGGTTGTTGCCCGCATTGCAGAAATCTTCATCGCAAATATCATTGTCAATAATAACAATGAGAAATATACTCCGCTCGTGTAGATAAACCCCGCAGTCTTGTAAGGTTATGTCAGCGCAGCTGCGTGTTTTGACCATGACTGGCTGCTTTTGCCCAATAACACAAAAAATACTGCCCATCATCCGCGATGTAAATTCAAGCATCGATCCACAAAGCTTATGACACTTCTGTGCACCGAAGGGAATCTGTCTCTCATGTTTTTTTTTGTGGCATAATAGATTGCAATGCCAACCGGAATTAGTTCATTAGAGCCTGGCCCAGAAAACCAGTGAATAGCTTAACCGTTGTAAAGAGCTTGACTCAGCATTGCCTGTGTTAATCGCCGTGCGAATGGGTACGTGTTGAGTCAAACTATCCACAAGCTTAACGGATGTGTGATTCTGAAACTGGCAGCTGAGTCTTTTACCAGCTCCATGCCGTTTGAGACTGACGTTAAGACGGGTGTAGCGTGTGGGGCCTCCGCCGTGTTGCGTTATGACCAAACTGAAGAACACCGGTGGCACAGCAAACGTGCTAGCGCTTCTCCAAATATCCTAACAGTTAAGCTGAGGAACACGTCAACAAAACGTTCGCCACCTTTGTACCGTGCCTTGTAGACTGTCGGTAACTCATGTAGAGATCGAGAGACTGAGCATTTTCGTATTTGTGAATTTAAGCACATTGCTTGCTCGAATATGAACATTGGATGAGGCTGCCATTTGTTATGATGCTCAATGTGTGTGCGTTTGGGACTGAAGCCTTCTCAGAGCAGTGGACAACCTGAATCCACATATCTACACGATATTACCTACATGTGTTCGTTTTCCAAATGAAGGAGCTTTATTTGTCCACTAATGCCCCTTTTCCGAATACCCACTATCCAGTATTTCCTCGTGATTATCGTCATAACCCGGAAGGGCCAAGAAACGTAAAAGCTGTAGCCTTCAGATGTTAAATAATCCGTTGGCAACGTAAAGCACACATGTAGATGTAGGCGATGATGCGATCACACGCGACAGAGAAGTTTGTCTCCGACATAGCCATACGAATGAACATTGTCTGAGCGCCAAAAACACTTCACTGTTGCTCACCGCCTATCTCACGATGCTATGACACCGCTACGACATTGTCTTAAGCGTATCCCAGTGCATCTGTAATTTCCCGAAAATGTCACACAGTCACCACTTCCAAGCTCAGGTAACCCATAACCTGAGCCGAAACTGCTTCGCGGAAATATTTATAGAGACACGCGCCCGTGACGCCGCTCATGACGCCGCTCGGCACGCTTACCATGCAAGTTTCGTGTGGCGGGCGTGTCCGCTCCCGTCACGTCAGCGGGGGCCGCGGCGGCCGTGTCATCCCAGGTCAAATGTCACTGCGCCCGGGGCTGGACCTTGACCTCGGCCGGAGCCACTTTCACCCCTGAGCGAGCAGCGCGCGCTCGGATGCGACGGACGGCAGTAGTGGCGCGTGCGCCGGCGCCGACGCTCTGGCCGCCAGCTGATCCCTCGAGAGGAGAGGAGACGAACGCGACGCGTCCCGGCCGACCTGCCGCAGAGGAACCGCCGCCGCCGCTGCCGCCCCGAGCTGACCCGAGACACAGCGCTCGACTGAAGGTGAGCTCCGCGCGGGCCAAGCAAACGCGCCGGCTGGCCTAAACAAGCCCGCTCGATTCATGTAGCGAAACGCTTGCGGCACGACGACGGAGTTGCATACGTTTTGAGCACGCGCTAGGTGCTCAAAACATTTCCGGGCCTGTATCGGAAAGGTGCAAGTCCTCGGCATAAGCCAGGATGTCCACGTAACAGCATCAACAATCTGTAACATAATGAATGTATGGCTTCATTCTTCCAGTTAACCAAGCACACCATCTATTCCAAAATTTTCAGCTAACTGCGTGCCTTACAAAAGCCGTTCTTCATTTCACATCTGACATGTCAGAAACCAAATGGTATTGGTGGAGACCAATCACCAACCATTTCTTTGCGTTCCTGGGATGTCAGCCGTTCACTGGAAAACTTGATGCTCTCGCACACCATGTGACATGTTTTCCCACGATACCAGACAATTCGATTGCTGTTTTCTTTCCCATCGTCATGTGCTCCGTTTCTCCAGGGGCTATGGTCCGTTGGTGGAGTGCTTGCTCTGCGCATGTGATTTTGCTGTTGTCCATTTGTTCTGTTTTAGTGTCGTATGGCCTAAGGCTAGCACTAAGGGGTCGTTTCAGTGACAAAGCACTAGCTACGTCACGTAATTACTGACAGGGCATCCCGGACGTCCCCTGCAAGTTTTCGAGACAGCCTACAGATCGCACAAAGTACGCACGTGGAACGGTTTACATGCGGGCCATAGTGCCGGATGGACCCTCAGCAACTCGGGCGAAACCCACAGCTTGCTTCCGTATTCGTAAACAGCTCTCACTGTTGACTGAACAATGCACAGCTTAAGGACCACGGAGAGAAACTCGGCGCCAAAGTGTAAATATTCTAAATAATAACAGAGCATAGCAAGCAGGCAAGTTTGCTAGAAATTCGGTGTGATTTCTGCAAACGCAACACATACATTAAATGGATTAAAGGCTTCTCAAAACGTGTCCTAGAATTTCGCATACAAGGGACATCCAACTACCATTCTGAAAAGTAGCTCCACAGTCCCGATCCATCCCATGAAATATCGTAGCTTCTGAATTTTGCCTTCTACGATAACGATAAAGGACAACTACTGTCACTCTTTTAAATGCAAATAGGTAATGCTCGCCTTCCATTGGACTCGCGTTAAGACCAAAACTTTCCAAAACTATTACAGCGCAAAGAGCAAACTCTTGGCAAAAGGGAGTATTAGCTGAGTCGGAAGTCAACTCCACTGTATTCTATGTTAACACTTTTAGTTTTTGAGAATTTCAACCCACGTAAAACGTTCAAGTCTACCAAAGGTGTTTTTGTATTCCACTAGCTCTAGGTGGAAATATACATCAAAATGCTACAAATCTGCAATGTGGGGCCGTTTCTTCAGCCACAACGCTTTGAAATAAAACGTTGTCATAATTCCAAGCAGCACAATGCGTCAGTCCCGTCCGGCATAGCCCATCTTCAAGTGATAACCTTGCAGACATACTGGAGCGGAGAGACGCGGCTTACAAAAGGATGCGATGCGAATCAGTAAAAAATACAGAAACTCTACGCATCCGGCTAAGATTAAGTACCACCTTGGATGGCTCAACCATTCCAAAAGTACATGTGTTCGGGAAGCCACTCACGCAACATGCTTGCAGTATGAGCTTCTTCGTGTTGCGGAATATTTTCCTTGGAATCGTCTTGCTCCGTGCTCCGTGAACTGTAAAGGCTGAAATGCTCCGTGAACTGTAATAGTTTTACGTAGCATCGTATCTTTTTCCATTGGACGTAACAGACTGGTAACCGACCAAAAACCTGGGTCGTTGTTATAATCTTGCCACATTTACTTACCACCGTGTATGCACCCTTGCTGCCACCATCCGGCCGATCATGCGTCATGCCATAGGCAATGCAACCGAACTGCAATTAATCAAGGGATGTCCTGAAAAAGCATGCTCAGAAATTGAACACTCGATATAATCATAATGAAATGCTAAGGTCGTGCAGCTCTAACAAGCGTCTCCCGGGATGTGCTCGGCAAAGGGCGCATCGCAGAAAAGCTGGCTCAAAAAATGTGTGGCAAAAAGAACGACATGATAACCTGAAGCCCCGCAAAAACTGATGGCATCAACTATCGGCGGCCTCGAGAGCTGTCAACACCTATCAGATCAGCGCCGGTGTCCGGCGGCCAACCGCAGCCTCTGCTTCCGGCGCGAGCGCTGTTCGGTCGGCCCGCCACCGCTGCCGCCGCCCGGTGGCCGCGATCGGCGTAAAAACCGGCCCACTTGAGCGCCCCCGCTCATCACTCGCCAGGCGCTGGACTAACCAGCGGCTGCCGCTGATCAGCTGATCTCTCGGCGCGACGCTGCCGTCCAACGGCGCACGCGCCGTGCCGCTGCATCGTCCTGGGGCACCGCCGGCGCGCTGGCAGCACCCCGTTCCCATGGATTGCATGGGGTATCGCAATACATACACATATGAGCCTGAAAGGCGGCTCCTGTCCTTCACAGTGCTCACTGATTTTTCCATGTACGGAATCATGACGTACTAGCTAGGTTCTGCCGGTGCCTTGCTCTGATCGCGGAGGTGCTAATGTCGGGCTCTCCGCCCGCTCTACCTGTCTGCCGCTGGCCGGGCCGGTCCGGTTCATCCCACATGCCGGTGACCAGAGAAACTGCCCGACCCCAGCGCCGCTTGCTCGGGGCTGCCAACAAGAGAGCTATGCACATCCCCCTCGGATGACCATGCCGTGCGGGCACGCGCGTATCTGGGCCAGTGAGCGCCAGTTCGTTCCGGCCGAACAGTTCCAGATCGGGAACACTTAATAGATGAACTTTCTTTGCAATTAAAGTTCATTAAACCAACCTCATGACAGTGTAAATGTGGCTATACGACAGTGAATCGAAGATCAACCAGCGGAACATCGACATCATAGACACGAATCGCATGCGCTCCTGCCATGGGAGGTGCCACGGTCCGTCGATGTGGATATTACGTCATCAAGTCACCCCAGCCAATTGCGACCGGCCTCGCCCTTGTTGGCCCCGCGCACTCTGCTCCGATCGGACGCTGCTCCCCGCCCCGAGGCCATGTGCCCGGATCCTCCCGCCTGCGGGCGGGTTGTGGGTACGTCTCCCTCCGTCCGCTACGCGAGCTTCGGATCTCGAACGCAAGCAGCCTTCAAAACACGCCGCTGCACCACGGAGAGCCGCCCTCTGACCCTGGGCAGCACGGCGGAGGCCCGCTATCCGTACATCGCGCGCCAAGGAGCGCAGTGCTATTCAGCACCGGGCGAGCGCACAGCGTCGGCTCTGTGACGCCTGGGCCCGGGGGAAGGGGGGGGGGGGGGGCGGACCGTCCCGTGCCTCGTTGCACGCTGCAGGTCAGAGCGCAGCGCCGCGCCACCGCCAGAGGCGTGTGAACCGGCCCGGGAGCGTGCCGTCCCCGCTGACGGGCGTCAGCTGGCTGTGTTGCGTCGCTTGAAGGTGTGACGTCACGCTCATGCGTGTAACGAGCGTGAGAGAGGGAGCGACCTCCGGCCCCGCAGGCTCGGACAGGGATGTACGCTGTGCCCAGCGGCAAGGCGAGAGCCGACATCTTCATCTGGAGTAGTCATGCGTCGAACCTTTAGCCATCTGCAAAGGTATACGCTCAGACAGCGGTAATGCATTTGGAAGGTGGACCGTGTCATGCACGGACATTAGTTGCTATTGCATGGCACATTTAAGTTATGGGGGGAGCGTGATTTATGTGGTATACCTCACTCCTCTAGAATACATGTTGTACCAGGGTTTCCCGGTGATAGAAACAATAACCAACATGGATAGGTACGCGGGTGCATGGATAATACATTGTTTACGTACCAACCAATCGTTGTCTCGTGCTGTTCGTTTGGAAAACTTGTTAAAATCTACAGGATGGTCTTGGCGGTTATTTTTGTACAGTACCTACGAAAACGGTCTCGGTTAGCAACTCAAACAACTTTAATCTGCATGAGCACTGTCTGGTACATTTGCCGTTCAGTTGCTTGTTAGAATGATGACGTCGATGGGATGAGTCTCTTACTAGTAGATGGCAGCGATGTTGTCTTTATCATTACAACAACCAAGGCTTATAATTTTGTTGGTGCTCATCCAAAATGCCAAAATACCTCCATTACATAGTTTTAAATCTTGGTTTTACGGCGTGGACGATATAAGCCATCAATGTTGGACATGTTACATCGCACGTAAGTGTGGCTTTATGACTTGAAAATGATGTGGAGGAACCATGCAGGTCAGAAGTTCGTGACCGGTTTATCCTCACCGCGATTCTGAGGGTAATGACATTGCATGTAGCATCCGTCTTGAAACCTGGCTGTATAATCATAAGAAGGTACGCGTTTCACAACGGAGCGTTCAAAAACAGTCTTATGCATAGCAAAGTGAAAACCTTTAACCGTGGCAGAAATTCAAAGTCAATTTACAATTTTCTGGAAATCCTTGCTTTGTATGTTAAGAAGCAATCAATATGCTATGAGGACAGTAGGCAGTAATTACTTCTTCAAACTTTTTGTGTTGCATGTTCGAACGTTTTACGCAGAGGAAGCGCGCGATAACATACGAACGTGCTCGCCGCGCTTTTTAATTGACTCGAGGCCCTCTACGGCCCGGGCTGATATATTTACCTGCCTTCCCACTTTCTCGCTCGCTGTTTTCGGCACGGGGCCCCACCTCGGAGTCCCACGGCGCCGACTATATTTACTGCAGGCTCCACCCCAACGATGCTCACAAATCCCGTAAACGGAATACCCGCGGAGACCACCCTGCCAAGCAAATTGTCTGTGATTACCGCCTGATGGGGTGGAAGACGCTCGGCTCCTTTCACCCGGCCCGTGAACACCGGGACCCCATGGGCCGGCGTCGGCACTCGTCGGAGGCATCTGCGAGCGGCATGCAAGCGCGCCGGGCTTTCTCTCGCCTCCCCACTCCGGTCCCGTGTAACTCATGTGCCAGTCACTTGGA